GAAATATTGAATACCGGCGAAGCCATGGCCAAAAAAATTACGCCACAAGTAACGGCAGTCTTCATCTTTTTAGGCTACGGCTTAGGACTGGGTCAGTTACTAATCATTTCATATTCTTAACTATATAAACTAGATGTGGACACCTTTATTATATCGAGTCTGGTTAACTATGCAGGTCAAAGGTGTCGTCGTATTAGCTATATATTCTGAAAGGTAAAGCCAATTGTTACCGATTTATGACATTGTCGTCGTGCTCGATGACTTCACATCCAATCATCAATAAGGCATTTATGTGACAGGTGGCACTTGATTTGCTGGTTAAACCCTTCCCCCTACGCCCAAATTGACTAGGCAACAAGTTCCAAAAAGCCTGCTGGCCTTACACTGCATAATGTATATAGTTATGATGATTAATTAAAATTTGAACAAAATAAACGTGTAAAATTTCGAGTAAAAAAGATAGGAATATGACATATGTGCTCTTACTAGGGTGATGCAAGTTCACTGAAACCGCTAACGAAACTGAAAGCGCTAGCGCAAGATTTCAGATGGCGTGCACTGATATACGCATTGCGTGCCTATTTTTTCTAACGTTGACAGCAAATGCAAATAACAATCACTTCAAGGTTAAACGCAATTATTACAATTTCTATTTTTTAATTCTTTCTAGTCAATCTGGCAAGCCGGCCTATGACTTTAGATTTGTGAGGCACCTGCTGTCAAACATCGACGCCCAGGTAGATTTGAACAAGATTCAGGCGGATGTAATGACGAAGGTTTGATTTTATAATTCTTTGCATATTTTATCATGTTTCTTTGGCATATTTTATTATGTTTCGCTGGCATATCTTATGTTTCGTTGGCATATTTTATCATGCTTTCTTTACACGTGGAACATACACTTCGTTATACCACTCCCTTTTGTGCACGGTTCAATTTTCCTGTCGCCATTCCCCCACCCGGACACCCGCAGAATTTGCAGATATTTTTTATTTCCAAAATGCCAATTCTCTACCACTGGGCAAACAAAATAAGCCAACGATTTGTAATATTGATTCTATTCGGTTCGGTATTAAACGTAGTGCACGAGGCTTGTTATGGAAAAAGCAATTAAGACAGAATTACGGCGATTTGGAACAATGTGTTTAATGTCGAGTTAAAAAAGATATGAATGCTACAACTCATGCTGTTATATACTCGTTAGGTTCACTGAAAAAATGAAAATCAAAGTTTGAAGAAAAAGTGAACAACAACATTTGTTTTTCATTATAATTTTAACATAAAATACACATAAAACTACAAAATTGTCGATATATAAATTCTTTTTATGTTGTGCCCTGACACCAGCTTTCAGTTTTCGGGCGTCTTGTGGGATGCAACCAAAAATCTATTGAACTCACACTTTACTACAAGTGAAGACTAGGTACTTCCAGGAGCGATGGCAAAGGCGGAAAGAAAAATAATACTCTTGGAATGCTGTCGAGTGGAGTAAGCACATGATATTTGTAATTTGGAGACTCATATGCATGTGAGAGGTAGCTATATATGGTTGATTTTACATCCCATTGTTTTTACCACCAACTAAATCAGTTTATTACAGAATTTTTCACTGCTGCTCGAGTTAATTTCACTTCATTAACCAGCCACAGTCCAGTAATATTTTCATGTATATTATTGTGTAATAATTTTGTATCGTTTATCTGTCTAGAATTGGATACATCATTGCACTCGAATTCGGTCGTCTTCGACAGGCATGGAAGAAAAGGCACCGTGAAAGCTAGGTATTCATAAACTACTGTAAACTACAAAAATTGCTGATATATAAATTCTTTTTATGTTGTGCACTGACACCAGCTTTCAGTTTGCCATTTTGTTTTCCCTCAAAAAAAAACCGAGTGTTATACTTGTTTTCGGGCGTCTTGTGCATGGGATGCAACCAAAAGTCTATTAACTCACACTAAACTAGGTGAAAACTAGGTATTTTCAGGACCGAATGGTACGGGCCAAAAACAAAATAATGCTCTTGGAATGCTGTCGAGCGGAGTAAGCACAAACTTTTTATTAGTAAATATAATGCAGGGTGCATGTTTTTAAATTGCTTTCATACAATTTCTCAAAACAGCTCGTGGTATCAAGTTTTAATAACATATATGTACATTCCTTGACAACCCATATTAGTATTTTGCACACTATAGTGCATGAACATAAGAAATCGTACACGGTGTTGATTGTTCGAATTTGACGTAGTAAGCAGTTATATTCACCTACAGGTACAAACATGTGTTGTTTTGGGTGCATCTTGCGGACATGCAACCATACAGGTTCATGCATGATTGATTTTTTTAAACAAAAATTTGAAACAAATAATGTGTAAAGTTATTTCAGGAATTGGAAAAATTCAGAAGTGTTACAATTTATAATGTATGATCACACTACTTCAATTCAAGCTTGAACCAATTATTATAATTTTTGTGTTTTAATTCTTTCTTGTCAATCCGGCACTCCCGCATACAACATCCATTTTGCCAGATACCTCGTAAGGCACATAAACGCCAAAAAAGATTACGACGGACATTGACGCAGGTTTGATTTTATCATATTTTTCGTTTGCATATTTTATTATCATGTTTTGTTGGCATATTTTATAATATTATGGATACATCCTTATTTACTAAGGAAACTCGCCGCAGTAAAGGAATATACAGAGAAGCGGTGAAAGCTAGGTATTGTAAATAAACATGAACTACAAAATTACTGATATAATAAATCCTTTTTATGTTGTGCATATGTGTGGGCATGCAACCAACGATCAACTTAAAATTATACAAGTAGCGGAACAAATATCAACTGTTTGGTACACTTCTGAGGGTGAATTGCATATCTAGTAGCCAGTAATTAATAAATTAAATGTTACACATCTCACTTAAAATTAAAGGTAAACAAGAAATATGTGAAATTATAAAGAAATGAATCTGACAATCAAATATTAGATACAGTTTTGTGTTTCACTGAAATTACCAAAATGGAGGATTTAAAGGCACAGTAAAAAGTCAGATTCTTCCAGGACCAGATGACGGTAGCAAAAAACAAAATCATTTTGTTGGATTGCTGTCAAAAAGAGTAAGAACAAACTTTTTATTTTTTATCAGTAAATATAAAAGGTGTATAAAAAACTGAACAGATTGGAAATTGGCTCTCAATTTTGCAAAACAGCTTGTGGAATTAAAAAACAAAATTTGTATTTTTATCAGTGAATTTAAAGTATAACACAGGGTGCCTGGGAAACTTTAACATCGCGTAAAGGTACGCATTTTCCAAAACAGAATGGGTGCCTGGGAAACTTTAACATCGCGTAAAGGTACGCATTTTCCAAAACAGAATGGTAGTTGTCAAAGGTATACTGAAGGACAAACAGTAGAAACAGGTAGGTAGGCATTGCCAGCACATTAGAAGTATATATTTTGAAATGGTAGGCACAACTATTATAAATACACTTGTTGTTAAATATTCATATCTAACCATTGATCAGTAAAAGCCAACTATAACATTAGCCAAAAAAAGGATTTGTCAAGACAGCAAAAGCCTTGCAAAAGATTATTACCCAAATGCACATTACCCTGATCATGCAGTGGAGACAACTCCTTGCAAGCTGCTGGGTCAAGTGCTCCTGTTTTGATGAAATAAATTTCACAAAATATCTGATATAATAGAGCAGATATGCAGGAAATGAATGTGAGAAACAATTTTTGAACACAATTATTCCAGTTTTTATTTTAATTGTTTCAAGGGCACAAGTATTTTAATGCTATCTGATAGAGCTCATAGATACAAAGGAAAGGAAGATACATGAAAGCCATCACAAATTGGGCGATAGAAATTAAGAAAGGGAAGGAAAACAGCATGTGCAAACACACAGCACCTTCAAGGAAAATACCAATATACAAAAAGAAATGATCAGGGAGGTTTACACCTTCCAATCAAACTTTAGTTGCGTACACATGCAACACTGTGCTATTCTATTACAATCCAATTTATCAAAAATATATGTTATATTATTATATAAAGGACACATTAATTGTTATATCCATTCTAATCTATGTGTTATGAATTATATCTTATTACTTCATTTTAATTAGGTAATAAAGAATATGAATTGTTGGAAAGTGGGAGAAATCGAATATATTATTATGTACGTAATATTTACTTATATATCGATACTTAATACACATTTATAGATTTGGAAGTTCAGAATAAGGAACTAAGCGGCCAGTTATTTGTGTTCACAACATTCTCAACATATCCTTTGAAGATGTCCAGTTATTCTTTTCTGGTGTTTCGAAATATTTTTTTCTTTCCTGCCATCAAAAGATCACCCATGCATGTAATTATGAAATTTGGAATCACGAACATTCTAGTATGTGCACATGCAGTTGCGCTTGCATCAGATAGGGTGACAATTTGTATATACTTTAATTGATTATATTTATTATATACTTTATTATATACTTTATTATATAGAGCCATATTGGGCCAGTCAGTATCATTGCTTAATCTGATAGGTTAAAATTTATATGTTGTGTTTTAAAGTAATTGACAGTTTCCTATATAACCCCACTTGCCGAGTTTAGCTTGTATTCAATGACAAAAAGCAACATGCTGGCACAATTATCAGGATGAAAATTATCAGTGATTTCAAGCAAAACCTGCCGACTTATTTTGATGTAAACAGGAAAACTGAAATTGATAGATAAACTTTATTTAAACATGCTGAGTCTGTGAATTTTAAAATGAAGCACTGCATCTGAAATTGACCAAAAGACCTTTAGGATTTTGCAAGTCCTAATTTACAATTTTTTCTTTTCAATTTGAATCAAAAACAAAACAATCGAATGAATTTTTTTACCGACTGCCATTTCATTGTTATATTGAATGTGTAAAAAATATGTGGCCAAACTTTTTGCAAAATATTCACGATTAACTTGCAATGAAAAAGCAGCCATTTTGTCAGTGTTTTCACTTCGCAAAACGGAAATTTCCTTGACATTTTCAACAAGGAAATTATATTTTTTAACTCAACTTTGCCGGTTATAAATATAACATTCTTACACAGAAGCACAGAACACACCCATACAGAACATACACACAGTATTTGAAAATAAAAAGAAAAAAGACTTGCCCAAGGGAACATCGATGTCATTCTCGAAGGTTCTCGCTATATCACTCGCACATGATGATACTGAATCCTCCTCGCCTTTGGATGAAATGAGTCCATGTCCACACCCAAAACATTTACGAATTGTTGGAAATAGGAGATGTTAGCAGAATAGTCTGACATGTTGCATACAATGATGGCATACAATCTGAAAAAGAACGACAAAAATATTATTATTATACCAATTACTGCACAATTGTTCAATTCAGGCAATTCAATAAGAGAAGGTTTTGTGCATTTTTCATCCACGTAAAGAATTCAGCTCTCAGCTGCTCACTGGCATGGGGGGTGGGGGGTGATGGGTAGTGGGCAGCATGCATTATATATTAGAATTAGTACCCCATGTGTCATCATTCACATTCATCTTTGCTCTTGGCCACTGGGTCCATATCATCATAAAGGAACCATATGATCACACCACACAACAAACTATTCTCCAATCCATATTCTGTCATTCAAATTGTCCAAACTCAATCAAACGTTTTGTATTCTAAGAAAAAAAACAACAAGTTACTCATGCAGGCATATTCTATGGTGTCAGTTTTCAGAATTCTAGCTCCAAAATAGACTGTTTAAAAGTTTAATAAATATGTGGACATCATGTAGTATATAATTAGTACCCGACATGTATTTCTTTGCATCCATCTTAGCTCTTAACCTGCTCATATTGTCATTGCAACCATTCACACTACACAACTGATAACATGGTTAGACATTCTTCCAAGTTCCATCTACATTCTGTGAAGTGCAACATCTCCCCAGGTAATCAACATGGTTGTTCTTGTGGTACCATTATTATATATTCCAAACATACATTTCTAAAATGCAAAGTACAATTGCTTTAGACACTGGAAAACTAAGGTACCTTTGTTTTGATATTTTATTGTGATTCTGTTGTTCCTGATCACTTTTTATTATAAACTGGATGACTGCATGACATCATTTTTATAAAACTGCATGACATTTTGTTGACGCCAAGGCTTATTCTCTCTCACAGCCTCTCTTATAATTCTGACCAATCAAAAAAAGCATGGATGCATGCTATTGTCAGGTATTCGCCATTTTGGAAAAAGCACATTACAAATTCCCCACCATGGGGTCTAAGTAATGCAATCAAATACACACCCTTGGAGACTTACATTGACCCAAATGACACCTCCTTGGGGGACAAGGGTATTGGGAGCTGAAGGACACCCAGGGTTTTCGGAGGATTTCTGAACTAAGAAATCAAATGCCAGCTCTATTTAGTTTTGATTGTAAATACAGAAATATTAAATTCTGCAGTCATTTCCTTTCAAAATTTCGATTTTAATTAAAGAGGCTGTCAAGTCCATTCTGCTCATGTGCATGTTTTGTTCACATTTTTTTTCAAACAATATAGATAATTTAATTCCAATCTGTGAGCCTTCAAGTTAGCTCATTACGCATTCAGAATTGACCATAAACCCCCAACTGTAACCCCCCCCCCGTGTACAAGCCACCACATATACTAACGCTCACTTCATTCCAAATATAAGCTCCAACTGAGTATATAA